ACAAAAAGTATTCTCGTAGCTTCGTAAAATTACGGTTGAACCCCTGATGTCACATGGATTATTTTACCGATCTCCTTGCTACGTTTCTGGATCTTGATCGAGGTAATTACATTGCTGTCTATGGGAGGGTCAGAGACCTTTGAGAATTCATCAAAAATATCTTAATTTGTGTTCTGAAGATGAACGAAGGTCTTACGGGTTTAGAATGACATGAGGGTGAGTAATTAATGACAGAATTTTCATTTTGGGGTGGAGCAACCCTTTATATTGTGCTACTCTCTCAATCAAATCAAATATCCCAATCAAATATGAGAATATCTGTTGATTCCATATTTTATTTAATAAATACTCATTTTAAAGATTCACAGGAGCAAAGGGACATGGCAGAACACCAGCCCGGCATGAGAAAGGCAGGAGCCACGGCACCAACCGATGAAGAGGAGGAGGAGGAAGTAGAAGCAGACAATATGGCAGAGGATGAGTGCAGAAATGTGGACTGATAAAGTTTGAGGAACTTTAGAGATTTTTTCATAATGCAGAACCTAGTTTGGATATCAGAATTATTGTTTATTGATAACTGGCTGTCAATAATTCCATCACTTGATAAAAACGGCTGTCTGTTTGTATTCAGAGACAAAAAGAGACTTAAAAAAAAAAAAACTCTGAAAGACTGGAATTTTGGAGTGGTCAAACAATTCATTCGCCCGACATTGCCATGAAATAGAAATACATAAGGTTAAATCCATCAGCAGTCATCTAATATCATCCCTGCATTTCATACATTCGAACAAAAAGCTAAAGTACAAATGTTTAGTTCTATGAGCAGCGCAGTATGAATGTGAAGTGTTGAGAAATGTGTTCATGTCATGTTTTGTGTGTGTGTGTGTGTGTGTGTGTGTGTGTTTGAGTTGCAGTATGTTTTGCGATCGGTGCGTTTCTTTGGGCCTACACTGCCATCTGGAGTACAGAGAATTGTTATACCGAATCCCATGAAATCATTTGCCAAAAACAATAATCCGAGAGCACATGGAAAGGCTCAATATCTAAGTATTTAGCAGCATTATTATTTGTTAAACCATTGCCAACATCCTGGTTAATTTAGTTAGTTAATTTAGCAGAAACAAACAAAAAAAAGAATGTTTATAATTACAAATATAATTATATTTGCATATTTATGCATAGAAAAAGAAACAATTACTAATTTCTAAAATTATCTAAAATAATTTCTAAATTCACCATTGGTAGGTGTGGCAAAACGCTTCAAACTAAAAGATTTGAAGAGTACTTCTAAAAAAAAAAACAGCTGATAAAGACTGCAGTTATATCAGTATTCCAATAAAGGCTGTTTTTACATGGAGTGGACCATGTTAATATCACACATACTATTTTGCTTTATCTCACTGTTTTGGGAGACTTTTGCCTCATGCAACTAATCGTGGCTGACTGTGAATAACACATTCCTACAATGTTGTCTTTGTGATACATTTGTGGTTTGTCAATGACATGGTGATCAAAGCTGCTATAAACATCATATTTGCATACAGAATAGAATTTGCATCTCTTGATATGACTGTATTTGGTTACAGATAACAAAAAAACTCCAAATTCAGTGCCTCGGGGTGAACGTTCAGTGCTCGGTACATCAGGAACACGTAAATGATTTCAGTCAATTACTGTAGTTAACAACTTGCATTAATATTAGCTGGGTAACTTATTACTTATCTTAGTTTTTAAGCTTCTTCCTTAGCAAAATCTTTTAAGGGAAAAATGTTGAACTATTTTTAAAAATGATTGATGATGATTTAAAATGAGAAGCCGACAGCCACGTGTTGCTTTTTTAAGAAATTGTACTGCTTTATATTGAAAATAATCATATTTGTATGCATATATATTTCTCCAAAGCTCATGCAGGTACATGTTGTTGATTTTGATTAACGTACAATAGAAAATCTGAGAAAATGTACCCAATTAGTATCGCTATCCATACAAACTATGGAAATGTTTTAGGTTAAAGTCTCTGTATCAATAAATATATTTGCACTGAATTAAAGTGTTAAAGAATATCTTCTTTTTCATGTTTTTGGATCATAATAAGGCAAACTCTATTACACAGTCTTCAAATATTGCTGCCATTTGAACAAAATTGGACATGTTTGACCTCGGTTTGAAGTGCTGTTACTTTACATTTGGAAAGAAAGTATGATTTTTATACTCTGACCAATAAAAATGTTCATCAAAAAGGCATATTTTCAGTTTAATGCCGCAAAGACGAGCATGTGTGGGCAGTTTTGGCAAAAACATCCAGTTTCTGTTATAAACAGATGGCGGCACAGTGGTTCTCTATCCCATATCTTGAACGTCTCTGCCTTTGATGCTTTCAAAATCTGGGCTGAAACTGATCTGGCTTGGATTCCCATAAGAGGTGGTCCATATTTTAGTCAAAAATCTAATTTCTCAGATTCTCCGCCGGCAACTTCTGCTTTAACTATCACACCATTAGGAGGATCCAGGATTAGGAAATTTCCCAGTCTAACGTTTGCATCAGATCCCTGTATTTGGCGTTGTGGCTAACAGGTGGGGCGGCACACGTGAGATGTGACGCATACTTCACACAATATAGTGATCAGACTTTTATGGTGACTTATGGGAACATGTGGCAGATGGAGGAAATGAAACCCAGGATTTATGCCCTGACGCTGCAGTCGCTGTAGCATCATTGACGGTGGGAAATTCTAAAACTAGATCAGACTATTAACATATTTAAGAAGAACTAAAAAGTTTATGGAGGACATGATGTTAGGTATGGTGGGAAATGAGGCCATCCATTCGCTAGAAATCATGCAGAATTATGAGACTTAAAGGCACAATATGTAAGATTTTTGTATTAAAATATCCAAAAACCACTAGAACAGTGTTATATATTTTGCTGACTTGTGTACTTACATTATCCCAAATGTTTCGAAGAATGTTTAAATCCAGAGAAATAAGCAATTTTAAATAGTGACACAGAGCGTGTCCATTGTGTCGCCTGCCAATGACGTCATAACCCCTCGATTTGAATACGCGCCCTCTAGCGACGAAAATTACATATTGTGCCTTTAAAGTACAAATATCATCCACTTTTTGTACTTACCCAATACAATTTCTTATTTTTTATATATACAATTTATTAATAATGTGTTCATTACATTCTTTACCAACATCAACCAAAATACCTATGTTATTATAACTGAACATAGAACTATGGTAATTTGATAATAGTCATTCATAAGTATTTTCTCACTGGTTTAAGATATTAGCCTATATTAAGCTTTTCAGATTTCTGATTATATATAATGTATCACGTGATGCATTTTAGTTCATTTCGGCGTTTCACACTTCAGCCACGAGCGCTTAGAGCGTCGATCAGCTGGTGGATGTGACGTTTTCCCGCATCCGCTTGTTATCACGGAAGAGCAGCAGCCTGCTAGTGAGAACGATGCGCTGATTCTGGTGAGTTTCGGCTTCACGTTGACTCTCTCGGCTGATTTTTGATTAACAACGGGTTTGGTGCTTTTAAATGACTTGTAAACAACTTGTACCAGCTGTCAACTAACCGAGAGGTCAGTGCGTGTTTAAGTTTAGAGCTGCAAGCTTGTTTATGCTGCGATTTGCGTGCTAACTAGACAAATAAGTGTGAATGTGCTCCTGAATATTCATTAGGTCTCTTCTAAATATCAAGTATGTGTTTATGAAGGGTTGTTTATTAGGGACTGAGGCAGTTTTTAGCGTCAAATATATATTTAAAGCTTGTTTGCCACACGTAGAGGAACTGCATTCATGTTGACAGTGCAGCATTGAGTATAAGATGCTTTTGCTTCCCCAGTATTTATTCTCTGTTCTATGTGTGTCACATGATTTTATTCATTAATTCTTTGGACAAATAGGAAAGAGAGGGTTATCAAACCTGAAAGCCTAGTATTAAAGGTTAAAAGCTCTCTAATAAATCAGTCTAATCACCTTTACCTCCTGTCATAATGGCAATTTCTTCTTAAGTATGACAGAGATTAAGCTAGATTTAATGCTCTTAAATGATTTTTAGAGTTGTCATGTCGGCATATTCACTTGCTGAAACTATGACAGTTCATAAACACAAATTAGATGGAAAATTATGGCATTTAGTGATCCATTGTCAAACCATTCTATTCCCCCCCCCCCCCCAATTACTCTTTTTC